TACCTTAATATAAATTTATATCTCTAATAAATTAAGATTTGTTTTATTAGCATCTTAAGAAATTTAAAAAGAAATAAAAATGTATTTTTATATGTTTTTAATTTAAAAGTGATGCCAACATTGTAGTACTTGCAAATTTTATTGCCAATTATTCCTTAACTGAAATCACTTCAATATTACTATCTTTTTTTTATTGTTTTTATAATTATATAGGATTGAAATCTTATTCACTATTATCTAATGAATTACAATTTTATTTATTCTATACAAATTATATAATACAAAGATAAGAACTACATTTTTATTTATAATGATGTTTTTTGATAACTTTAAGAAGTAGTAAAGTTCCTTTGCATAATTTAAGATGTAGATTCATTAGTTTATAAAAAGACCTTTATTATTTTTACTTAATTTTATTTAGGACTTATATAAGAATCCAAGTAGAAGGATTTTAATTTAAATGACGCTATTTTAATCTATTTTTATGTTGATTCTATAAGTAAGACCAATCAGCAACAACTTAAGGTAAGGAAATTGATTCAATAGAATGATTTTATCCAAATTGTTATATAATTCTGCGATCTTATAGAAGAATCCAGAAATATGTCTACAATTTGGCTGACTTCAATTTAGAGATTACTTGAATAATAGACTAAGTAGCTAAAACGATTTGAAGTTATGTAAACTTCACTGCTAAATTACTTGACTAATCTTCTCTCATCTCACACAAGACTTTGCATGTAGCTTTAACTTAGGTTTTACGTTCCTTGTTATTGTGAATATTATATACACTCGAGAGACAAGACTTACGGGATGAATAACTAATCAGAGAGCTTTGATCAGGAGTAGTTTTAGTTCTGCGTCCATTCTCCGTTACAAGAGATGATTTCATAATAATTAAATTATGTTATTAAAAAGTCTCTTTAGATTCTGTTCATTAAAGAGGTACAATTTCTAGGATATCCTCATGTTATAGCGATTTTCATAAGAAGAAAGTAAAAACCTTAATCTCAAATAAGAGGGTACAAATTTGTGATAGCAACCTTTTTTAGTTTTATATTTCTACTTCCACAGTAAAAAAGTATTCTTCAAAGCTGATGGGACTGTTCTTGAACTCCAATAAGCCATCAAGAAATAGATCGCTGATGTAATGAGTGTAGGAGTATATTAATAAACTAATAATGATGAATAAGTTGAATATGCATCCTCTACACCTATGCAATTGGTTTTGGCGGAAGATATGGTGTTAAGATTGAATTAGACAGAAAGCTACATAATTCTCAATAAAGTAGATAATCCACCCGTGATTGACTTGATTGATAACTATCCTATCACTTAACATGCATTGCATGAATATTTCTCAGAGATTGATGTACCTTAGAGAACAAAGGTTGTATTGAGTAATTTCATTCAAAAATTATTGTCTGAGATTGAAAAACATAAGGAGTTGACTTATGATAAGGATTTGATAATGTTGATAATAAAGAAGGTTATAATGAAATTGGGTATATACTCTTAGGCATAAAAACAAATAATAGATGATTAGATTTCATTTTTGGAATGTAAATAGAATCGTTTAGCTCATTTGAAGGATTCTATTATAAAGGAATTGGAAATGAAAGAATAAACAACTCTATATTAAATTTACTTTTACATTCTTATGTAAATAGCATTTACTTAATATGGTACATATGTTGTATGGGGATGGGATGTCATGGAGCCTGTGACTTTTATGCTTGGAGTTACTGACATGATAATAGCCTATTAATTTTGGATGAAAACAACTAAAGCTTATACTTTTGGTAATGTTTTATAAAATGCTGTTAATAAACATTTGAATAAAAGATTGGCAGAATAATTTAATTATTCAGATGAATTAAATGATGTTAATAGAATGATAGAATATTTGAAATTTAAGTAGATGGTTTACAGTAGTGATATTTATGAGGTTATTAGTGTTATAGAGGGAGCTATAGAAGAAAAATAAGCTAAATTATAAGCATAAGAGGAAGAAGAATAATGATTAAGATCAATATTCTATTCATATATAAATAAATAAATAAATAAATATTTAATTAATGGTAGAAGCACCAACACTATTTTCCAATCCAATTAAAACTTTATATTTATTTACTATAGTCCTATTTAATTATGCAAAAGATGCAATTAAATATTTAAGTAAATTTTGGCATATTATTGGATTTTTGACTTTAATAGTCATAGCACCTAGATTTGTGGAAGGAGAACATTCAGAAGTATAATCTAAATATAAATTTTGTTTAGTTGGTAAGATAGGGTGATGAGATTGCATATTTTATGTTATATTGGCTTGTATTGGGAATTATGTCATCTGTAGGTTTAGGAACTGGTTTACATACATTTGTATTGTATTTGGGTCCTCACATTGCTAAAACAACAATTTAAGCATATGAATGCAATGCATTACCTTTATTTGTGCCATCTAAGTATGCCACATAATATGTGGAATGTCCAAAAGAAGCTACAGGAATTACAATATTTGATATTATTAAGTAAGTATACTTTGAAACTGTTCTTTTTGGAATTGGTACAGCAATAGGTGAATTACCACCTTATTTTGTTGCTAGAGCTGCTGCTTTAGCCAATAAGAAATTGGAAGAATTAGAAGAAGTCTTGGAAAAGAAAGATGAAAGTAATTGTCTATTTTTATCAATTATTTTAGATTCATTTATGTAAAGAATGAAGTTGCTCATATATAATAAATTATAGAAAAATGCATTCCTAACTGTTATGTTATGTGCATCAATTCCAAATCCCTTATTCGATTTAGCAGGTATTACATGTGGTCATTTTCTGATTTCTTTCTGGACTTTCTTTGGAGCCACTGTTTTGGGTAAGGCATTCATCAAAATGCACATTCAGGTATGTATAATTTTGACATGCTCTCATAGTTGCCAATGACTGTGTTTGTCTTCTCATAAGAACCAGTCAAAGCTTTACTCAATTTGATCCAAAAATATATTCCCTTTATATATTAATTTTTAAGTGATTTACTTGATAAGTAAAGAAAATAACTAAGAGATCCTTCTCTTTTCAAAGAAGGTACTAAACCATTGTTAGCTTAATTATGGGATTATTTCATTATTCTAATGATAGGATTCTTTATGATTTCCATCGTTAATAGTTTGGTAGCTCAATATGTAACTGAGTAAGAGTAAGAGAAAAAGAAGAACAAACAACATCATCATCATAGTAATAAACATCATTCAGGTGATCACAAGACCAGTAAAAAAGCAAAAAGCTCTTGAAAAATGACTATTAAAAAGGAAAAGTAAAAATCACATTTATCAAATATTATTTTTTTAATGAACAAGAATTCACCCTCACCGAGTTCACCAACCCCTGTGATTTTGGTGCTGGTCACCAATAAATAGGGGAAAGTGCTTGAACATAGTCAGTTCTTCAGAACCTTCTCTGTCTTTGGATAAGTTAAAAAGGTATTTATTTGTTCTCCGAATAATTAAAGATTCTCATTTTCGAAAGAAAAATCATTTGGAAAGTATTCATCGAATATGAGACAGCCCAATAAGCACAATCAGCACTCATTTTAGATGGCACTCTCTTCGATTACTAACTGAAAATGAGAGTACACCTAAGCTAACGAGATTCCCTTGTGTTTCAGAATAACAACAATTGTGGTGTAGGTAATATTTTATTTAAATATCAAAGATTACACTGCTCTTCAATCCAAATAGTAATTTTTTCAACAATTGAAGGAAGATTCAAGTTCCCTTAATCAACAATTATAACAGAACCTTGAAATTTTAAATCAATTTATTACTCAACTCAATTAGACAACTGATTTAAAAGAATAAATTTCCTTAATTTAATAGATTCAAGAGTATCGCAATCAAACCCAATAGTTGACAGTCCTTTATTAATAACAATTGCGTAATTATGCTTCCGTATTGTAACGAGAAGGCAAGAAATAAAAATAGATCGTATCATCAACTACAACTCCATCCCCTTCTCCTTTTCAGCACTCTACTCTAGATTCTATAAGATAACAAATCCTTGAAGAGTCATCTGAAGATGATAAAGAGGAGTTTTCAGATGGTGAAAGCATTACTTCTGAATAGTCACATAAGTCTCAACAATCTGGTCGTTCTGAAGATAACTACAATGAAGTCTTTTGTAATGACTCTAGTAATCCATTTTCTTGTGGAGCCAGTCCATTCACTCCATATCCTTAATCATAAAGTAGTCCCTTTTTAATGACTCCCACTCCTCTACCATAATATTTGGTAGTGTAACATCCTAATACTAATCTACGAGTGGTGTACAACATCTTTAGTACAGTCACAAGAGTAGATGCTATATATCAAAGTTAATATGGAGCTTTCCTCCAATTGGCATCCAAAGAAGAAGCAATTAGAATTAAAAACTTACTCAATAAAGGCCTTCTTTTAGGTATGCCTATGACTTTGATGATTTCTGAAAAACTACCTCAGGATGCTCTTTAAGTAGCCCTACCACCTAATGATAGAAAGCCAATCATAAATTAGTAATTGTCTAATGCAATTTAAATTACTGGACTTATAGGTGTTACAATAGAGTAGATGTATTAATACTTTGGATGTATGACACCTATCTTAAACATGAAGTAAGAAATCTTATATATATATTTAGATTCATTAATCAAAGCTCTTGCAAAATACTCTATTCTGATGTAGGATGCAGTCTTAGTGTCTTAGGTCATTTCCAAGATGCCAAGATCAATGGAAGGTATCATATTTATTTATTTGTAATAGATCTGTGTAACTTTCATTCACAGCTTTCTGATTAATGAGAAAGAATGAATTTTATAAATATTATTTACCAGCATTATAATTAATCATATCTTTTCTATCTTATAAAAAAAATTAGAGAATAAAATTTCTAACAATAATGTAAATTTTAAAATATATAAATATATAATTATCATAGTGTTATTTATATTAGGAACTAATAAATTTCTTAAAATGGATTAATTCAAAAATTATATCTACAACATTCTTCTTGAACCCTCCATTAAATCAGAATTGGAATATTTTGTTTAAGAATTTGATAAAAATCCAACAGCCTATGATTGTAATTCAATATAGTTATTATTAATTAGTTTTGGTGGACAATCCTTAGAGTGTATAAGAAAACTATAAAGAAGGATATATTGGTTTAAGTTAAAGATATGCTAAAGCATAATAGATGCTCAAAAAAAAGTTTCCAGGAAATACTCATCTCATTCAATTTTAACATTAATTATATGAATTAGGTAATATTTCTAATATTAAAAATGTAGGAACCTTTTATTTACATTGGTAAGCTTTTTTACCAACTATTCAAATGTTGGGAACTCCAGAACAAGTCTAATATTGGTAAGATCTTTCATTCAATTATTAAATTCGTGGAGCTTATTCTTAGACTGAAGCAGGACATGGTTCAGATGTTTAAGGTTTATAAACAACTGCTGTTTTTGAAAATAATTCCTTTATAATAAATACTCCAAGTGCATCTGCATATAAATTTTGGCCAGGACAACTTGGTATCTTCGCAACTCATACTGTTTTATAAGCAAGAACAACTGTTAATGGCAAAGATATTGGAATTTAAACATTTGTTATTCCTATTAGAGAACCTAAAACTCTTAAGGCTTTAGAGGGTGTTGATGTTGGAGATATTGGACCTAAATTGGGTTTTTTAAGAGCTGATAATGGATATTTAGGATTAAAGAATGTTCGTATTGATAGAAATAATATGTTAATGAGATATACAAAAGTTGATGAAAATGGACAAGTGACTACATCATCAAAAAATGCTATTAAATATGGATATGGCAGTATGCTTAATTTAAGAGTTAGTTTAGTAAATGTATTTTCTATTTTTGGATTGTTTACAAATAATTTAGCTTATTATTAAGTTAAACCTTTATTAAAAACTTAATCAATAGAAAATGAAGCCATAATGTTTAGATTATTAAGAAGTTATGTTGTTTAATATGCATAAATTATAGCAAATGCTTAAGTAAAAGAAATATTCATGAGATTTTAACAATAACTCAAAGCAAATGATAAATAAGCTAATGAAACTTTATAATTAGTTCATTTATATTCTAGTCAAATGAAGAGTATTTCAGGATGGGAAGCTGTCAAAACTTCAAGAGAGGCAATACAGATTGCTCCATTTGGACATCTTAATGCATCTGATTTAACAATAATATATGCTGATAATGTTCCATTTGTAACTTATGAAGGAGATAATAATGTATTAATGTAATAAACAGCTTAATATTTATTAAAATAATTTGGTAAAGTGAGTGGAGGAAATGCATAATTTACAGGAATGGCTTCTTATTTTAATAAATATACTTAAGAAAATAATTAGAAATCATAATTATAAAATTAAGAAGAAATTTTAGAAAGATTAAGTTATTCATATTGTAAAAAGACTATGGAAAACTTCTAAAATAGTTTGATTAATGGTCATTCATTATAATCTTCATGGAATGAATTAAATTAATGTGAATTAATAAAAGCTTCTATTATTTTTGGATATACTAATATTTATAAATAGATGGGAGCATAAATAAAAAGTAGTGGTTATAATTTAGAATTATTAAAAATTCATAAATTATTTGGATTGTTTATAATATTAGAAAATAGAACAACTATAGTATCTTTTGGTATTGCTGATTTCAAATAAGTTGAAATATTGGCTGAGATTGATTAATAATTTAGTAATAATAATAAATTAGGTATATATTAATGAATAAATTAAATAGAATTTTTGGAATATTTATCAAATGGAGTTGGCATGTATAGACAAAGAAACTTTATCAATATTGATTGGGACAAATTAAATTTATAAGCTAAATTATGATAAATAATCAATAAATTTATAATAATAAAATATTTATAGTTAATAAATCATTTTTTTTTTGGATTTTTTAAATCTTCAGCCAATTTTATAAAGTGTTCATCTTATTCCTTTATTTTTTAATCAAAAACTTATTATAATTCTTCTAATCTCTTTTTTAATACTCTATCAATTCTTTCTTATTTTTCTTTTTATTATTGTTATTCTAACATTTCTCTTTTCTTTTTTTCTGGAATCTAAAATATAGAATTGCCACTCATTAATTATTCCATCATTTCTGGATCTATCTAATCATTATATTATTCTGCTTCCTATCTCAATTTCTCCAATTCTAAATCTTTCACATCTTTTTTTATTTAATGTTTCTAATAAGTTGTCACTACAATATCAACCCAAGGAGTGAATGTAAAGAAGTAAGCTCTATAGAATCTAAAAAATGTTGATAAAAAATGCAATGAAATTTCTTTCAAGTTTTCCAAACTAAATATATAAACACTATGTGGTGGTCTGTATAATGAATGTCTAACAATTATTTATCTGAATTCTTCAAAAGATTTTTCTCTAATCCATCTTTTCTCCCAAGAAATATTAAATAAATGAACACTCAATTCTAATAAGCATGTAGCTCTTTGAAATATATACTTTTTTTCAATAACAAAATTAAGTTAATTCAAAAAATACTGAATGAAAATACTTAGAAGTTAAGGATCTTTTTATAAAATCTATATCTCTCATACCTAAATCTGAATATAACTTATAACTTTCAGGATAACATCTCTAAATGATATTTGCAATTCTCTCTTTATTTTAATGATATTCCTTCATTTCTTCAAGTACAATTGAATCAATGATCTTATTACCAAAGAATCTTTTTGATAATATTCGCATCTCTTAAGGTGAAGTTATCATTATTAAATATAATAATTATATTAAATTTTTCAATATATATTTACTTACTTTGTTTATTATATGAAATGTTGAAAAATATTAATAAAAATGATTAGAAAGATAGTTATTTATTGATATGTTAATTTCAATAATTAAGATATATTTTATATAATCATACACAATTAGTTTAGGATTGTTATAAAAACAAAAATAATAATAGAAATACTATTTTATGAACAATAATTATTATTAAAAAGAATAATATATCAAATATCATTATATAAGTATTTTAGATAATGATTATTTAAATGATAAATTAATATTCAGTCAAATAATTTCAAATAAGCTTTATGATCCAGCTCCAATCTCTTCAAAGGTCTTTTCATAATCTACTATTTCTCCTTCATAAAATAAATTAATATCAAAAAATTCCATTTTGAGTTGAAAATTATGAAAAAAGTCTCCTAATTTTTGATCTAATCTAACAGTTTCTTATAATTTCTCATCATTATTCATATTTTAAATGATAATATCTATTGAAGAATTGTCTGTTGTTTTAATATTCTATGTTTAACTTATACAATCTAATATTAATCCTGAGGGTTAATATATACTATTTGAAATAGATGTCGCTTCTTTATAAACCAAATCTACTTTATTATTATTTTTTTTTAAGGTTGATAATAGAATATGATCTTCTAATTGTATCTAATCTGTAAAACTAAATAACTTTTTGTTTTATTTATTATCTAATAATTTATTAAGTTGTCCTATATTTGCATTTGGATCAACCTAAAATATTTTATTAAGCTCATTATCATGTACAGTCACTGTCAAATATATGAGTAATTAGATTTAAATAGTAGCATCATTATTTATGCTTTATTATTTAAAGCTTTATTATAAATTTATTAAACGATTATTAACATATGCAGTAAAATCAAGAGAATATTTCTTCTAGATTATTGGAGATATAGCATCTATAATTCTATGATTCAATGAATTAACTTAAAACTTAATATTTGATTTGTCATTTAAAATATCTAGAGTGAATTAATAAATTTTATTATAATAAATTTAGGCGTTATTTTTAATGTTATTATCATCAAATGATTTATAAGTATCTATTAATTAACCCTTATTATAATATTAGAATTTGTCATCTAATAATTTATTAAAGACAGAACCAACAATTTCTTTTGGATAAAATTTAATTTTATATACTTCTGTTTATTTTTCTTTATTTATTAGTTTTAAATTTTACTCAAATTCATATGTCAAGATTATTTATTATTAATCTTGACAAATATCCTTTAGTAATTTATTTTCAAAATTTTCATCAATTAATTATTCATTATATTAAAATCTACAGGGTGATTATTCTTTCATAAAATCATTTAAAACACTTTTTAATGAAACTTGTTTTTAAAATCTTTTTGAAAAAGTTGCAATACCATTCCTCTTTTAAAAAGATACCCCTATAATTTAACTTATACAAAGTTATTTTTCCTTATATTGATGAATAAGTTAATCATCTTTTAATAATATATCTTTGTATAAAATAATAAGAGAATCTTAAAGTAATGAAAATTTATGTGAAAATTTTTATTTTGCTTCTAAAATTGTATCTTCTTATGAAAATGTTTCTAAATAAACTTGATTATCATCTTAAGAGTAAAATTGAATATCAAATATACGAACTAATCTAAAACATTGATTTTGAGTAATTTTTTAATCTAAAGGGAAATCACAATTATTAAGCATTAATTTATATTTATATCCTTAATTTAAATAAACTTAAGGTATAATTTTTAATAATTAAGCTCCAGTGATATTATTTTAAACTAAAATAAGATGTTCTTGAAAATTAGGGGAAATAGTATATTTGATTTCTAATTTATCATTAATCTTGTAATATATAATGCTGTCATTTATAATTCCTTCTTTTTCATATGTACTCTCAATAGATATATTTCTACCTTAATAAGAAATTGTAATTAAATCAATTGCTTAATTTAATTGTTATAATGCATATTTAATTTAATCTGATATTATTACTCCCATTTTTTTTTATCTTTAATTTTCATCTTAAAAATATACATTGATCATAAGCTTTTCTATTTTATACTAAATAATTAAATTTTCTGTGTCTACATTAAGTTATTCAAAAGTTTCTGTTTTTATTAACTCTTTATCTTGAAAATAATAGATAACCTATTAATTTATAAATGGATCTTATTTATCTAATATAGATACTAAATCAATTGATCTAACTTAACATTAAAAGTATTTTGATGAATACTTATCCTATAATGTTAATTAATATTTATTTCCAATTTCCATAATAATAATAGAATTTTACTCTATTTTCAATTAAGATATTGATTCTTGATCATTTTTCAAAAGATTATTCTTATATGTTAATTACAATTGATATTTTTCAGGAATTTAATAAATCTATATCAATTTCTATTTTAATTTTTCTAATTTTTCATTTAATTAACATGAATATTCATGAACAGTATTTTGATATTTAATAAATAATTTGATTCTAGTTTATAATTTAATCTTAAGTTCTGAATGATCTGGAATCAAATATGTAATATATTATTAATGATCATTCAATTCTGTTTCATTATAATAAAGTTAAAATTCTTATTAGATGTTGTAAAATTCTAGAATTTCATATTTAATCAATTCAATCAAATTAAAAGGATTTATTTTAAATTAATGATGAAGACCATAAAAATTAATATAAAAATTAGCATATATTGTAAATTCTAATTATTAAGGTATCTTCTCGTATGAATTGATATAGAGTGTATTAATATTTTATTCATCAATTGGTTGTAGAATTTATAGACTATATTCTATTGGTAGTATTTCTTTAATTATCTCTTATTCAATTTAAAATATTGATTTGCATAAATCACATCGATGTTCAAAGGAATTATTAAATTTATCAAAGAAAGTTATTGTTGTCTCATAGCTAAAATTTGCTTTTATTGGACTATTTGGTTAAAAATTTACAATATATGTAGGATCCCGAATAACTTAATCAATTTCTATTAAAGATTTTGATTATCTTGGAAATTTAAATTCTCTTATTATATTGTTAATTATTTCTTGAACACTAATGTAATCATCTTATTAAAAGGTAATCTTTTCTATATTATTAATAATAATCTGGATCACAAACATTAACTTTTAATAATTATTTAATAAAATGGATGAATACATAGAAATCATTGATTAAATATCAGCTGAAAGAGCAATACAAATGTTAAAATCATAAAAAAAACCTAAATTCAAAATTAATCGTGTACCAGAAGAACTAAGATCAATTCCTATTTATTTAGATATAGAATATCAGAATTATATTTTTAGAGATCAATTTCATTGGAATTTAAATGATTATCATATTAGTCCCTAAGAGTTTGTTGAAGCATTAGTAGCTAAATTAGGTTTCGGTAATTCTAAATAAATGCATTAACAATTATTATTTTAAATAATGGAGTAATATGCAAATATAATAATTAATTAGGTATATAGAAAAACACAGTGTACATATGCCTGAAGATTTGATATAAACTTAAAAGAAATAATTGTCAGAAAAGAAGAAAAACAATTAAATAAGTTAAAGAGCTAGTAGAACATAAATAACTAGATTATCCTATGGTTAAAATAAAGTAAATTTATTAAATTCTTATTCTAAAGAAATGTATATATTGTGAATTTCTAAATGTTCAAAGTGGATTATATTGTAAAAAGTGTAGAATTCCATTTATTGTTCTTGATAATGTAAATCCAACTGAACCTATTACTAAAGCTTGTTTTTTATTTTATGAAGTTGTTATAAATAGAACAATTTCACCTATTGAACCTAGAAGATTGATAAAGGAGGACTTTACATCATTATATAGTCTAAAAAATAAATTAATTGATTTATCAGGAGAATAAGATGTAATAGATGAAGTTTTTCAAGAGTTTATGAAAAACAGAGATAATTTAGATTAGGCAGATTTTATTACATCTTTGAAAGCTCCAAAAGCTAAATAGAAAAAGAGATAAGTGAAAAAGGGAGAATGTGAAGAAGAACCTGAAGAAGAGAGTCA